TTGATTACTTATGCTTCAAACAGTAATTTTTATTTTATTTTTTTCTAGTTCGAAATATAAACATCAAAATCTAACTTTTTAAAGAGTTATTGTTTTAAGCTACCTTTAGGATGGACAGTAATGATGAGCCTATTGCATGAGTTACTCTCGGCTATACCACAGATAGCTGAACCATTTTTCTGAAAGTGGACGCTTAAGAGTCTGAAGGCCATGGTCTATCCGTGAGCTACGCCAAAAAATGTCCTATACAGATGCAAGTAAAGCTTAAACCTCGAGGTTTCCACTACCATAACAACAAAAAAAGAATATTTTAAAGAAAAAAGTAATAAAAGATTAGTCATTTTACAGACCACTAATAAAAACACGATCATGTCTTTGATTATATTTTCGATATTTCATTATTCTTCAGGGATTCAGGGCGAATTCAGGAAGAATTTCTCAACTAATTTTTGAGCTAATTCACGACGTAATTCATCTTTAGTTTCACGTTCGTCCTCTTCGTGCAATTGTTCGCTTTCGTCTATCGCTCGTTCGTGTTCTTCACTTGATTCAATCTCACTTCATCGTCTGAATGTACTTAAACCTATGTAAAAACAGAAAGAGATCTTTTTTGTATCGAATTTTAGTTATTTAATTTGTTAGATATCCACGTTTATCACAATTAATTCCATAAAATGGGGTTTTACAACGACAATAATAGGTTGTACGTAATCCAACACATTCACCGTTATTTTTACAAGGACTACTTAAACAATGATCTTTGCGACTTTTATCACTTGATGATGATGAATAACTATTGCTACTAAAAGCTAAAAAAGAAAATTTGGAAAGACAAGTATTTTAAACTCTTGTTTTAAACTTACTATTTTCACAATGTTTTCCATAATGATTATTATCGCAAAAACAGTAATAACTTCCGCTACTCAATGATCTACACGAACCACCATTTTTACAGGGATTACCAGCTGCACATTTGTCTTGTGACGTACGACGGGAGGTACGATATCCGTATCGTGTAGTTGTTGAAAATGGTCGGTATCTTGCAGTACTCGTTGAAAATGATCCTAAATATTTTTTAATTTATTTAGAAACAAAATAAAATATAGTAGTATTTTTATCCATACGTGGTGTAGATTTTTTTTGAAAAAAAGTGAGTCGAAAGAACTTTTTTTTCTTGTAGTAGTAGATCTTGGCGAAGTGTATATAAGACTCGATAGTACTCCTGATGTAACGGGTTTTACTGTGGTCGTTTTTTTGTGGAGTAGAAAACGTTTAAATGCATCTACAACTCCTTGTTCGTCTTCATCCTCTTTAACATCTTCATTATCTTCTTCACGTTCTGAAAATTCTTGTTCTGCATCAATATTATCGTCATCATCATCATCATTTATTGGTGAACGGCGATCGTTACGAGCTCGTTCTGCAATCGTTAAGCTAGCCAAAAAGGCTATTAATAATATAAGACGTAAATGCATGATTATCTGAAAAATATCAAATGAAGATGACAAATTTTATGAAGTCTTTCGTAGGAATATCGATTCTTTCTTCGAAAATATACTGAATGTATTTGGAAAATATCATAAAAATTGGTTAGTTGAGTATATTAACTTTTTACTTACTTCTAGTTGTATTTAGGAGTTTTGTTGCATCCAGTCATATAGTATCTATCTCTCTCTTCCTCTCTCAATATATATATATATATACAGATATATATTATGAAAAATTTGGAAAAAAATAGTATTGCTTAACGAAATAATCATCTCACTATTAGCAATATCAACATATGTATTTAAGTTGACAAACGCATATATAAGTTTTTTTGTCCGACAAAGCAACAGGAAACACTTTTTTGAAAATTGGATATGAGACAACACTGTTTGATAAGCATTTGACAGTCATCTTTCTCCATCTCGTATGATAAGAATATTAATAATATCAC